CAAGTATGCTTCAGGTAATATGGGAGCATACGCAGCCTCAAAGAACGCCATCCGCGGCTTGAGTCAATCAGCTGCATATGAAGGCGGTGCCAAGTATCCCAAGAACCCCATCAGAGTCAACCTTCTATGCCCGTAAGTAATCTCCTATGAGACGACATACATGACTCACAAAGATGACAGAGGATGTATTGATACCGACATGATCCGGCAGCCTCTATACTTGCCCAATGGTGCAGGTACATGGACGATGACGGAGGGCGATCACTTGACATCAATCATCAAACGCTACTCCAAACCGAAGGAGATTGCTGCCTCCATAGCATTCTTACTGGGAGATGAGAGTAGATTCATGACAAAGCAGGAGATATACGTTGACGGTGGCTGGATGGAGGCCAACTATGTAGCTTAGCTATTATCTTGAGCCTAAGTTCTAGCCCAAGTGCCATTTCAAGCCTAAAGTGCGGTATCTTGCGCCTACAGAGTGATTTGTAATGCAATATACTCAGATTCCGCATTACAAATGCATCTTAGTAGATTCCCTGGGTTGCATCGAAGCTGGTTGCTAGACATGAGGCTTCAGCACAGTCCCCAATAGGAAACTGCATGTCTTGGCGAAGTCATCGGACGAATCATGGTTCCATATCCTCGTCCTGACGCTATCCACAATTGGCAACAGCACTTCTTGGCACATTTACGACATTGAAGTCTTGTAGCAAGATATTGGCTTTCAAGCAGTATATAAATCGAACACGTTACTATGATAAGTCTCCAATTCATCATTCAATCATTCACATCCTCTAAGTTACACTTATCTTCCACCAAATCAGGACATCATGACTTCCGCTGCAAAATCACCTCTCAAGCTCATTCTTGGAGCGGCAAACGTAAGTAGTTCGACGTCTTTGCTTGATTCAAAACTGATCAAACATCCATGCAGGTCGGAGACAAGGAAGCTGACCCTTGGGCTCGCTTCGATACTCCAGATGAAGTCAACGCCTTCATCGATGCCTTCGCTGAACGGGGCTACACTCAGCTTGACACTGCTGCAGTCTATTCGCCCCAGGCTCCCTACAGCTCTGAACCTCGCCTCGGTGCCGTCAACGCAGGCGAGCGATTCAGCATCGACACCAAAGCAGATTTCATGAAGGGCCATACCAAAGAGAACATTACTCATGATATCGACAACTCACTCAAGCTTCTGAAGATCGACCAGATCAATATCTACTATCTTCACGTACCTGATCGTAACAACCCGCTTGAGCCAGCTCTTGAAACTCTCAACACGGCTTATAAAGATGGCAAGATCAAAACTTGGGGCATCTCCAACTTCCGAGCCGATGAAGTTCAAGAAATGATCGATATCTGTGAAAAGAGGGGATTCGTCAAGCCGACTGTTTATCAGGGCCACTATAACGCACTTGTTCGCGCCGGCGAGAAGGAGCTGTTCCCCATTCTCCGCAAGAACGGCATGGCGTTTTATGCTTATAGTCCTGCTGCTGGCGGTCTCTTTTCTGGGAGCCATAAAAATCCCGTCCCAAATGGACGATTTGACCCAGCGGTATGTAGAAATTGTGGGCTAATGTTCTTCCAAATACATGACTGACATCTTGTAGCACAAATCAGGAAGCATCGCTAATTCGCTCTACATTAAGCCATCCGTTCTTGGGGCTGTCGACAAGGCCATTGAAGTGTTCGCTAAGCAGAACATTGGAGGGCATGCTGCAGCCCTCAGATGGACAGCGCATCACAGCATTCTCGACAAGAGATACGGTGACGGATTGATCATCGGTGCTTCTAGCCCCCAACAGCTCGAGGACAATATTGATACGGTTGAGGAGGGGCCGCTGCCTGAAGAAGTTGTTGCTGCTCTTAACGCTGTGTACGAGGAGGCTGGTGATGAGGTGTCTTACCATATGTAGTTAGGTTCCTAAGACTAAGCTCAATATAGTAGGAGCATTTCTTGGCATGAAATTGTGAATTATTAAGCATCATCACCAATACAATGCTCAAAAGCATCCTTGATCGTGACAGACAGTCGATACTTGATACCGACGGTTTCGATACTCGTGCCAATATCTTTCAGCATGCAATTCATTACGGTGACTAATCCTGGCCAACGTGCTTCAGCCAAGACGACGCGAAGAGCTCACTCTCACGCGGCTCGCGTCGCCCATGCACGGGCGCGGAAACAGAGAGTGGTGGACTACCATGACCAAAAGAGACAACAAAGTGCGAAAGGCCGTGATGAACCAAATAATCTGCCTACAGAACTTACCTTACCACCGACCAGCGAACTTCAAAAATTAACATCTGTGCCCTTCACATTGCCTGGCGATTTTCAACCAAGTAACATCATTTATTTCATTAAATCCCTCTCGACACTTGAGCACTCCATCTTTAGTCAATGTGAGTTTGGCATGATCGGCGTAGGGTAGCATTTCCTAACCATCCCCGCGTAGATCTTCAAACTGTCTTGCCTTCCCAAATTGCACATTGCCCTATAATCATGGATATTGCAGAACAAGCAGCTGAGATCAGAAGCAACTGGATCTTCTTTGTTTCTGCTGACCCAGTTCTTCTACGAGGCTGTCTTCTTGCGGCATGTCGATACTTGGCTCAGGTTGAGCTCCGTAATGAGTACGTATTGTTGGCGATTCAGTACAAGCAATACTATTTACAAAGCCTTCGGAAGGGACTTTCATCGCGGACTCTTCCGTCGCGTCGGAATGCGGTTGCAATGACCACGGTTCTAGCGCTTGACGAGGTGAGTTCATTGATAGGGCAAGAAGAACATGACAGCTGACTACGTAGATTACCTGTGGAGATCACCTTGTCGCTGCAAAACATGTACTGGGCGCCATGAAGATGGTTGAAGACGCCGGTGGGCTCGAATGTCTTGGGCTGAATCATCTTGTCCGCTATGTCCTCTACAACCTCATGTTCGGCAAGCGACTATCAGAATGGGATATGGATCTACAACTGGCCTCAACACTCATGACGCCAGACTCAATACTGCCCTAATCATGCCAAAACACATCTCGAAACAGTAGCGTTCATTCCGCAGTCCCTATTAATTGGTCACCCGATCGCGATGTTCCGACTCATGCTCATTTCTTCGACGCGCTCCGGTGCATCTGTTGGTCTCGTGTAGCTAGTGGCGCGCCGTGTTATTTCTGCCTTACGGCTGGCATGCAAAGCTAGACGGATAAGGTATACAAGGTTAAAAAAATGCATATTTGTTTATTTACGAGACTCGGGCGGGAGTGAGACATTGTCAAGGATAAACTGAGACCTTTTGACATGAATCTAGTGCCACAAATTTCCGCGCGAGTTCCGGACGTCGGCAGGCGGTTAATAGGCTCGAGCTCTGATATTATGATTGATATGGCACTTTTGATCAATTTGAGGGCGTTTTCTTCGGCTCTTCAATCTCTTGAGCTTTTGATTCAGTCGAGTTTCTCCAAAACTCAGACACGCTTTGACGATTCCGTTCTCGCAGAGAAACAACAATCTCAAAGTCAACTGATATTAGGATTAGATGGCTGGGTCTGAGTCTGCCCTATTGTGGTTCTCGCTTATGTGAAAGGGGTCTAGGAATCTCGGTTCAAGCTTAAAGAAAGCTTATATGTTGGATTGCTTCAGCCTGCGAGCCAAGCAGTCTGGGCATCGGCCGTCGGCAAGTCAGATTCCACCCCAGAAATGAGGTTTAACGGTTCAAAAGCCGTGATTGGGCAATTGCGGAGGGAACGTCGTGACTAAACCGAGGGTCCGAGACATCATGTCCACTATCCCTTCAGCTAATGAGCCGACACTCTCCTCCGACTTTAAATCCGTTGTAAGGATAAGGGAGCATTTCGAAGACTTTTGAGCCAAGAAAGAATTGAACGAGGAATTCTGGGCTTGTTATTGTGCATAGAATATGTGGTTCAGACAAATACCAAACTTTCTGCTTGCCAAGCCGGTAATAACATGACCTCCCTTCAACACCTTCTTGGCACTTCAGCATTCTTCGCTCAAATACGAGGTCATCTGATAAAACTTGTCAAATGTTCATCTGAAACATTCTCAAGGGACATGTCTCGCGTGAGGTAAATCTTTGACCCCTTCAAGCCCTTGACAGGCTGGCACTCTAATCTGGGGAAATATCGAATTTCCCCAATTCCAGCGGCCCTACCTCAGATTCCGGCCTAGTCCATCGTGGCTCTAGACGAAGCCAACATGAATCTTTCCGAGGGAAGTTCTCTCGTGAGATTCTGAGTATAAGAAGGCTGTAGACATCGCTCTCAATCAACTTCCTCAGCTCAGCCAGCATCACTCCTTTACAGCCGGTTGCGTCTGCCACTCTTTACTAACCCAGTTCTTCACATTCACTCTTTTTTTGTTTTCTGTTTTCCATCCAACTTAGTCACTCTCTTTTTCCTGATATCCATCTTTCAAGATGAGATACTCCCTCGGCTTCTCCGGTCTTTTGACCGTGGCCTTGAGCTCCACTGGCCTTGCCCAGACTACGACTCCTAAACCTTCTACCACCGACTTCTCCACCTCTGGTGGCATGAACGTCCCCACCTCGGTCACCTCCCAGCTGCCCATCACCTTCACTACCACCATGACCACTATGGCCAGACCCACCAAGTCTCCCGTCCCTGGTAAGTGTGAGTGCGGCACTGGAACCTGCTTCACCCCCGAGATCTGCAGTCTCGAGTGTACCACCGTGTATGAGGACTGCTGCAGCATTGAGGGCTCTGATATCCAGGTTTGCAAGAACCAGTACACCATCTGTCTCGGCTACAACCCCTACGACTCTGTCTTTGTTAAGCCCACCAGCTGCAAGCACGACAAGAGCTACTACATCGAGTACGAGTCCAAGTACACCAGCTCCTACTTCGAGGAGAAGTACAGCTCCTACTACTCTTCTTCTTACTCCACCTCTTCTTACCACTCTGGCTACCACGCCGGCTACTACACTGCCGAATACTGCTGCCTCGAGTGCACCACCATCTACGATGAGTGCTGCGCTGTTCCCGGTGCTGATATCGCTATCTGCAAGGAGAAGTACACAGTCTGCCTCGGCTACAACCCTTTCATCGTCGTTCCCTGGGAGGTCCCCTCTGTCTGCAAGCACGAGGAGTCTTACTACAAGGAGTACGAGTACGAGCACGGCGAGTCTTATTACAACTCCAAGTACGACAAGTCCTACGAGCACTCCGAGGTTGAGGTCGATGTTGAGCAATGCTGCATTGAGTGCACCACTATCTACGATGAGTGCTGCAAGATCCCCGGCTCTGACATTGAGGTTTGCAAGAAGGAGTACACCATCTGCCTTGGATACAATCCCTTCATTGTTGTCCCTTGGGAGAAGCCTACTGTCTGCAAGCAC